CATCTGCCAATCCCTGGCGCAGGCCCAGATCCAGGGTTAAAGGGCTAGTCCTCAGCTTGTCCCCCTCAAATGATGAATACTGATGCTCCTCTTGGTTCGTAAAAGGTTGAGCTGGACCCTACCCCATACCACTAAGCCAAGATTCTTAAACATTTAATGCAGTATTTTATATAAAACCCTTAAGTTAACAATGAAACTCTGGCTGTTCAGCGTTAAATTACCACATATTCCATACAGACCAGTCACTATAACAGACCAGTAATAGAATAAACTGAAGCATAATTAAATAAATGGAATCAACATAAATGCTGGATTTATTATTATTTATTGATTATTATTAATTTTTACATCCTTGTACATTTCTCTATCAATCTTGCCTCATAGACGTGAAATTCAGAAAAAGGTATCTGTCAAATAGCCACCTTTAGCTTGCCCATTAACATTATTGCTGTATGCAATCTAAATTTCACAACAACATAGACAACGTGATATCCAGCAGGACCGAAAGTTGGATCAAAGATTTTTTATTAGTGGAGACAAGTCTTGTATATTTTGACCATGATGCTAAGAAGTATAAGAAAACTAGAGGTTAGAGTTAATATCACAAAATAATGATCAGTATGCAAGAGCAGTAAGTTCACACAGCTTCAAAAAATGATATTCATACTTGCCATCTTGCACAAAGTGGTAGATAGTTTCAAATTACTTTATTCGGACATTCAATATGAAACAGCCAAAGAAAACACAATTTTCACTGTGCATATGATATTTCTTTCTATAAAGACTTGAAACGTTTTCTCTGTATAAAAGTCTTGTTTTTTGGACTTGCAGTGTAAAGCAGCTACAGCTAACGTAAACAAGACATCGCAGATGTTCTTATTGTTGGGAAATTTGGAAACATATCTGGAAATTTCTTGACAAGTGCTTTGAATTGTTTTGAGTCTTTGGAGCTGTTCCTGAATACATGGTAACGATTACTGCAAGCCTTCACAAGGTGGTTCAGGTGACTTCTTTCACCGATAAATTTATCTACACTGCCCTTCAAATCTTCTCCGTGTGTAAACAGGATGATTGTGCTGTCCCTGATTCTCCAGCCAAGGCTTTTCTCTAGCTTCTCTAATATGTTTCTCTCACCATCTGTGAACCTGCCCAGCTGCATCACAAGTAACGTCACACAATGCCCTTCCTGACAGTACCTCTTACACTCTTCTACCTGTGCCTGGTTTACATGTTCCTCTTCATAAAAAAAGTCTGGGGTGTCAACTACTCTAACTGGTATCCCAAATATCTCCACTATTTTCACCTCACACCTGGTGGTGACTGGTGTGGAGCTGGGATAAGACTGAAAATGTTGGTTTGAACCACCAATGAGCTTCCCAGCAGTCAGGATGGTGTTTGCAGATGCACTCTTTCCAGTTCCGCTTTTCCCGAGAAGAACCATGTTATAGAGACCTTCCCTTGAACCATAGACACCTGGAAGATGTGGTCAGACAAAACATTTAGTTATTTTAGCAGCAGGTCCTTGCAGTTGCTAGAGTCCGACATTAAGACTGCCTGTTTTGGGGTTTTTTTAACCTCGAAATTTATAAAGGAGTACTTCAAATATTATTTAAATACTTTAATTTACTTTCCTGTCAAAGTTACATGTGTTGTGTTTTTTTGAAGCATACCATCATGTTGTCCGGGTGCTCTTTTTGCAGGCAGGGAAATCTGCTGTGAGCTGGCACCTAAAAAGGGCATATCATATACTCATATACTGTGAATTTGTAATTTTGTAACAACACAGTCAGAAAAAAGCAAATGCTGTACTGAGCAACTATGTTAGTGATAGCTTTTGAGAGCATCTGTTTAATTTATAAATGCTGAGTCTGCTATGAGTGCAGTGTGTGTGATGAATCTCTTTTCAGTAGGTAACTTGACTGTCGTTATATTACTTTCTAACAGCATGGTCGTCAAGCATCAGTGTTACTTTGCAGTTTTTTGTCCTACAACAAGTTACACTTCGGCATGAAATCTGTATTTTTCTGTGATTTTCACTTATAGTTAATTTCCATACCATCAGAAACTGATACCAGAATCTCTGTCTCATTTTATCAACATCATGGCACCCCAAAGTCACTTTAAAGATGTTCTCATAATGCGAGTGGTTGCAGTTCTGCTTCCCATCTATCAAGCAACTGTTCAAAAGGCAGCGAGAATGCAAGTTCATTGCAGTCTGTATGGCTGCAATAATGTTGGTCACATCATGATTTTCAGTCAGAGTTCCCACTATTCATAATCAGATCATTATGCATTTGGTTAATATTCTCAAATTTAAACAAATACTTTCATTTTAACTTAGTGTTTGAACTGATATGCGTGTGTTTATCAGAAAATTATTTTTCATTTTAAACTCTGGTCTGAAATTTAATTTAAGATGCTGATGAAAATATTTCATTTATTGCCATAATTTATTACATAATTTAATACATGACATAAAGCCAAAAGATCAGTTTCCTAACATAGGTGGATTTAAGAAACTCACCTGTACTCCGAGGATATTGCTGAGCATGCCATGAGTGTCTGAAACATTAATGTGGTCATTAAATATCAACAGAGAAGGAAATGATAAAATATCACAACAATAGCTGTGGCAGGAGTTTTCTGCACTCTCTTGGTCCCAGCTTGTTTTTTTTTTCTTTAATAAATCTTCTGAAATGGATGCTTATGCTTGTAATTGAGATTTATCTTTTTTTGAAAGACAAAACATAATTCACTTTAGTTTTGTTTTGAAAAATCCATTTGAATATATCACAAAGGACTGAATTCTGTCATTACCTGTGTTTCACTTTGGTTTGCATTCCTGTCTCTGTAGAAGCAGACCTGCCAGTGCTTCTCTGATAAGTCTCACCTGTATAATCACACTTTCTCCTGATAAAAAAAGATTTGGAAAAAAATGAACTGCATTCTTCAATGAGTTAATTAAGTAATTAATGAATTAGGCTTCATGTTCATTTTATTTTACAGGATGAAGTTTGGACTTGTTAAATTATGAAGGAGAGATTAAACATGTGCTAAATGTCAGAAATACTACTGTAACTTGTGAGGATTGAACACATTTAGTTAATTATTGTGATCTATGTATTATTCAGAATATAGAACTTTTTGTAGTATTTGAACAATGTGGAATTTCACCATTGATAGAGACAATAGAGAAATACAAACTAGTTGTTAATAAAATATGTCTCAGAGGGAGACAATTCTTACCTCGTGCGTATCAGGTGATCTTTCCTTCGTTTCACAGTGTGTTGGGGGTAGTTTTTGTAGTCAAACTGAAATGGCCGTTGGTGTGAACACCACTCCTTACATTGGAAAGCAAGATTTTCATTCATAGTTGCCATCTGGATATTGTACATTTCCTTAATGCGACCTTGTAAATTCTCTCGACTCTCTTCCAACACGATGACTATGTTTTCTGTGACATTTTCTCCAAACACACGTTGAAGGTGAGAGATTTGAGTCACAACTTTTTCCACTTGTGTGTTTTTTGAATCTATTACCAATATGAACAGACGAGGTCCAGGATCAGAAAGAGCCATGAAATCAATGATTAGCTGATCTGGGAAATCATATTGCTCATCAAAGAAATCACAAGTACTGATGATTCTGTAGAGGTTGTTGTTATGCTCAACAAAATTGCCCAGTTTTGTGACAGAAGCATTGGGATCTCTAATGATTGTACTTCCAGTCCTGTTCACTGAGTCAGCACTCTTTCCGAGCAGAGCGATGGTAAACTTCCCAGGATAATCTTTAGGAAAGACAAACAAACTTAATTTTCCATAAAAATGTTGTACAAAACTTAAATCTGTCAATGTTCCTCCTTTATTCTACCTATGGGGTGTGATTCTTCTATAGTAGATTTATTTACACTTATTTTGATTATTTATATTTATTTAAACATTTATTTTTAACCTCTTACTTAAAAAAACTAACAAAATGTCAGTAAACAGACAATATAATCACTTATCTGTATCTATGAACGACAAATATACTTCAAATTTTAAAAAAGGGGAAATTTGTGTCTCAGTCACTCACTAAAAGCTCTAACGCTGTGCTGACACACACACACACACACACACACACACACACACACACACACACACACACACACACACACACACACACACTATCTATCTATCTATCTATCTATCTGTTGTCAGTATATAATATTGTAATAAAGCTGCACAGCAGTAACTTACGTGGAGGCTGGGCAGAGCTCATCTTGTTAAGGGCTTAATCATGAAGACTGCAGGTTTCGCTGGAGTCTCTGAACTACCTTTGAAACAGATCAGACTCTTGCTGATATAGGCTGAGAGATTAGATCCGCCCTGTGGGTGGAGTGCGGTCTTTGATCTCACACTAAAACAGTGGAGTTGCATTTCAGTTCATTCTCTATGAAGTCGCGAACAGACAGGAGATGGGCAACAGTGGGTCGATACCAGAAGGTGAAGTTGGAGCTTTAATTTGCTTCAGACTAAATTTAGGCTTTCAGCAGAACCGAATAACACAAAGAATTGATAGGGAGAGATCATTTTTGCATAATTTAACTTCATTTATTGTGTGATTAACTCCTTGGGGACTAAACTGATGTAGCTACAGTACATAGCAACATTATAGGAAGTAGGACAGAAGCCCCCCAAATTTACTCACTGGTGGTTGTGGAGATGAAGCAGGTGGAGGCTTAGTAGGCTCCGAGCAACCAGGATGACTTGGAGATGGAAAGGAGGTGGGTCATATGACAGTCTGAAAGGCAGAATGACAGAAGTGCACTGAGGTTTGTAGCACGGGGAACGAAGACTGATTTTCTCACACAGGTGAGCAAGAATCAGTGCGGGAAAGTGGAGGTGATGTAAAGAATAGACTAGATTTCAAGTCTCTATGAACACAGTCAGATTAGATACCAATGCTTCATCAGTTAACTTATGAATAGGCTCCATTTAAAATCTATTCATCCATGCAATAAGTATAACAAAAACGTTCTTTCTCCAGGTGACCCACTGAGGATTGTGATGATTGGGAAAACTGGTGTTGGGAAGAGTGCTGTTGGGAACACCATTATTGGAAAAGAGTTGTTTAAATCTGAAGTGAGTTCAGAGTCAGTGACAGAGACCTGTGCAAGAGAGCGAGTTAAATACTGCAAAAGAGATATCCATGTGGTCGATACCCCCGGCATTCTGGATACCTTTAAAAAGGCAGATGACATAAAGAAGGAGATTGCGAAATGCATCCACATGGCCAGTCCTGGACCTCACGTCTTTCTGCTGGTCCTTCAGATTGGCAGGTTTACCCCAGAAGAAGAAAACTGTGTGGAAGCCCTGGAGAAACTCTTTGGACCTGAGGCATCGAACTACATGATTGTAGTCTTCACTCATGGTGACAAGCTGGCTGAGCAGAAGTCCATACAAGAGTATTTGACAGAAGGCCACCCTAAACTCAAAGAGGTAGTGAGCAGGTGTGGTAACAGGTATTATGTCTTCAACAACAAAGATAAGAACAGAGTTCAAGTGGTTCAGCTGATCAAGAAGATCGATGAGATGGTAGCAGCAAATGAAGGATCACACTACACCGATGAAATGTTTGAGAAGGCACGGGAGATTCTGCAACACGAGCGTGAAAAGACACTAGAAAAGCTGTTCAGCCACCGTGAGTTCATGGAAGAGCTGCGGCAAAAAACTCTCCAGTTTCAGCAAAAGTTGGCTTTTTTAGAGGACTAGCTCGGTGATTCAGGACCATTTTGACCATCATTTAAAGTTGATTATCTGCCATATGATGAACTAATTAATGGTAATAATTTTTAGTTAATGACAGTTTAGAATCTATTGTTATAGTTTCTAGATTTAGTGAAATGATTCTGGTGCTGATCATTTAAAATATGGTATGAAATTGGTTTCCATGTCAGCTGTATCACTGTAAATTCATCCATTTGTTCACATATTAGTCAAGTCTGGGTTCCAACTTTAAGTTTAAAATCAATTAAAATATGCAAACTCCAACTACATGTGTATAAGGGTAAACATTATCAAGCAAAGGGTGACAACTGATGTAAGGCTGTTAGACACCAAATGCACAGTGAAAAAAATGGCATCAACATGAAAGGATGCTGAGCTGTTGCTGATGTTTCTAAGCAGTAATAGAAGGAGAAATTCACAAAGTTGGTGCTACATAAAGAATAGGTCCAAAAAATATTTTTAACACTCAAAATATTCCCACAGATTCTAGGCATCTGGTGTGTAAAGGCCTTTATTGTTTATGATGATTATAAATATAGAAAACACCACTTGTTATTATTCTGGAGATATACATAAAATCCTGACACAATTTAATTTAATAAAGAACGTTTTCTAAAACTTTTTGTCTTTTCCTCACCACATCAGAATGTGATAATCTGGAGTTTACATTTTA